GAAACATTAACTCTGTTTTTTCCTTCACAGATACTGCCAGACCTGCTGAGCTTTTCCAGCAACTTTGTTTTTGTTCCTGTTTTTACAGTGTGTGGTTAGGATGTGGACTAAACTGCCAGAGGAGGTCGTGGATGCAGGTATAGTTACAACATTTAAAAGACATTTTGGATAAGTACATGAAAAGGAAGGATTTGGATGGGTATAGGCTAAACACAGGCGAGTGGGACTAGTTTAGGATAACACAGATTAACTAAATTTTTACATCTGTTCAACTTGCATTTACTTAAGATGCACTAATTTCTTAACCAGATGTTTGTGATCATCTTCCATTTAACTTCAGTTACCAAAACACATTCTAAAAGATGAGCTAAAAAAGCTTGCAGCATTTTTAAGCATTCTGTCTATGTTCTACCATTTTTAAAAATCTATGGGCATATCCAGCGGTCCCCTTGTTCTTACAAACTCTTTCCAAGGTACCATTTAGTCTCTATCTCCTGACCCCTTCTGCTAAACCTGTAACTTCAGGCTTCTTCTCTGTATTAAATTTCCCCTGTCTGCCAACCTTTTGTCTGAAAAATAATCATTTCCCATGTCTTTTTTTTATTTCCTTCCCTTAAGCCACCTTTATCTTAGTTCACACTGAACCTTATTCCATGAGTTGCAGTTTTGTTAAACAGCATTTTAGGTGTTTTTTTTTTAATCAAATGCTTTCTTAAAATCCATTTGGACAACATCCATTGCATTCCCTTTGACAACTTTCTATTGCTTCAAATTTGAGTTGACTATCCATAATTAACTCAAAACTTTTCCAAGTGTCTGTTGACATTTTTGAATGGCTGACGTTTATAGAGACTTGCCCATCATCAACATTTGAATTACCAGGACGTTCCTCGAGTAAGTGTGAAACGTTTGCCCACCTCCCAGGTGGTTACTGCTGTTTTTCAGTTCACTGAAGTTGAGCTAGACACTACATTTTATATTTAATGATAAATATTTAAAACTAAAGCAGAAGTTTTTCAGACGCTTTGAAAAGTTGAGACCTCCCTTTTCACAGAATACTTTTTTTTTTCCTCAGACCCTGCTGAACATATTTACTGGAGTGAAGCTTTATTTGCCCACGTCAGTGCAAGACTACAGCAAACTCCGCCGGTATTTCATCGCATATGATGGTGACCTGGTTACAGAATATGACTTGGCTACAGCAACGCATGTGGTTGGTGAAGCAAAGGATAATACACACGCTACAAAGGTCTCTGTGAATTGGATCTGGGAGTGCATCAAGAAAAGGAGGCTGGTTCTACCATGCTGATAGATATCACTCTGATATCTTTCCAGCCTAGAAGGGGTAAAATCTCAAATTTAAGATTTAAGTACTTGTCCCAAAAAATTTTAGATGTAATTCGGACTTCTGTGTCATGAGAATGAATGATATTAGCACAATTGAATTCTGTGCTAGGTGTCACGTACACATCTGTAGACTTGCCTATTTGGAAGAACATGCAAAGGGGTTATGAAAGTGTTTTCACTTTATTTAACACTCCTTTTCTGACAAGTGGATGATTTCTGTACTGTGGTGCTGTATTCAAGATGATGGGAATGCGCATTCCAGTTGACAGGTCTTGCAGGACACTACTTTAAAGAGCAAAGTATGAAATTACATCTTCTCGAAGAACATTGGTTAGTATTTAACCTAGAGTCACCAAGAGAAATATTGTATTTTATTTGTGTTTCAGTTCTCCAATGCCCCTAAAGCTCATAAATTTGAAATGACTTTTGAAAATATAAATGCATTTGTATATAACATGAACTTTTGATTCTTGAGCTTATTTTAAAAAAACTAGACATGAAAAAGGATATGGTTGAAGATAAAGGTTCAGGTAAAACTTCACAAAATATATCTTTTCCTCTTCTCGGTCCAATGCACTACTTGATGTGCTGCTTAGCCATCTTCCTGTAGTTGATCCTTGGGCCTTTTGCTACATTAGCTAGTCTCCGTCAAGTTGGGGATGTCATAAATGGACTCCATCTTACTAGGTCTGAGTCCCTCCTGCTCTCGATCACTCCATGGTTAGCCCTGTGGGGATTAGTTAAAGATTTGGTAGTGATTTCTCATCCTGTGATGAAGTAAAATCAGGACACCTGGATAAGAAGTGTGTGGAATCATAATCTGATGTGATTTGATACCTGCATGGGATGAAGTGGTGCAAGTTAGAGAAGTAGGAAATAATTTCTGTACTACTTTGGATAATTTGAAATTGTTTTTCCCAGTCCAAGACCAGCCTATGAACCACCAGGTATTTCATTTTGGATAGACAAGGGCTTATATTAGTGTTGGATTCCTGCCACAGTATTCCAGCTTGTGCAACCAATCAAGCAACCCCTTAAATTACCACTAATAAGTTGATTGTTTGTTTATTTTAAGCTACTCTTCTCTTAAAATACCATCATTTACTTCAACCACCATTCCCCGACAGCCTCCCATTCGCAACCTAACAGGTAGCCAGTGAAATCCCATTTGCAATAATGTAAATAAGAATTTGGGTAGGGATTTTGGGCAAACCTTCCAAATTTCTTCTCATTCTTCTCATTTGACTAAGTTTTCCCTAGGAGTTCGTCTAAGGGGAGTGATTCTTGTGTCCCAATGGTGACGTGTGTTTGCTGACACATTTTGAATTTGTCAAAGTTAATTTTGTTTTTAAATGTTCAGACTTCGAGTAATTGCTTTTTATCAGTTTCTGGGTTGTTGCAAGGATCAGCATGTTGTGAACAATTGGTGCTGCGACATCTGTAAATAGCATACTTTTGAAACAAAACAGTCAAAACCAACTTGTCGCCTCTTTATGTGGATATGTTTAATAATGCAGCTGAGGAGCCAAGTTAGGAACAAAAATAAATTTGGTAAGTCTGTGCAAACTGCTGGTTTTGTTCTTTGTCACATCTTTCAGAGGCTCTGTTTTTTTTCTGCCCGACGGAAATGTTTGGAAGATGGTGGAAACAGTGAAATGGAAGATAGAAGGGTGAGAAATATTGTTGCAAATGAAGAGAAAGATGAACAGGGAGGGAAGAGAAAGGATAAGGGTACGTAGAGGGGAAAAATCATTGAGGAAAGAACACAAGGAAAGTGAGGAAAAGGGAAGAAAATATAAGGACGATCATGATTGCACACGAGGGACAACAGACAGGATGGGCCAGTGTGATGGGTGAAGGGAAGGTATGTGACAACTCTTATCCACTGAGAATAGTGGAGACCAAAGTATATGAATTAAGGAAAGGGGACAAGTGGGAAAAGTGACAGAGAAACATCCACCAGCTTAACCTAACGTAGACAGGCGAAGCAAATGACATTAAATAAATGCAACATATTATTTAAATAAAGAGAGAGTGCAGATCTCTTGAGGTACAGAAGAATCTGGGTGTTCTGGAATCATAAAGTTACTAACACAGATACAGCAAGTAATTAGGAAAGTAGGTGGAATGTTGTTAGTTATTTCAAGGTATTTGCGATATAAAATTTATGATGTTTTGATACATTTGTGCAGGCTTTGGTGAGACCATATTTTGGAGTATTGTGTACAGTTTTGGTCTCCTAATTTAAGAAAAGGGATGAAAAGTGTCATCAGCAGTGACTTGCTCAGCAATAACCTGCTCAGTGATGCGCAGTTTGGATTCCACCAGGGTCACTCAGCTCCTGATCTCAGTACAGCCTTGGTTCAAACATGGGCAAAAGAGCTGAATTCCAGAGGTGAAGGTGATAGCACTTGACATCAAGGGCACATTCGACAGCGTGTGACATCAAGGAGCCCCATCAAAACTGGAATCAATGGGTATTGGGGCAAACTTTTCTCTATTTTGAGTCATACCTGGCATGTAGGAAGATGGTTCTGGTTATTGGAGGTCAGTCTCTCAGCAGAAGTTCCTCAGGGCAGTCTCCTAGGCCCAAGCGTCTTCACCTGTTTGATCAATGACGTTCCCTCCATCATAAGGTCAGAAGTGGGCATGTTCACCGATGATTGCACAATTCACATCTCCGCAGAACTGAAACAGGTTATGCTCAAATGCAACAAGATCTGGGCAATATCCAGGTTTGGCCTGACGAGTGGTGAGTAACGTTCACGCCACACAAATGCTAGGCAATGACCATCACCAATAAGATGATCTGCCCAATGTCCCTTGACATTCAATGGCATTACCATCATCCATCAACATCCTTGGCGTTACCATTGACCAGAAATTCAACTGGACTCGCGACATAAATAGTGGCTACAAGAGCGGGTAAGAGGGTAGGAATACTGCAGCAAGTAACTCAGCCCCTGTTTCCCCAAAGCCTGTCCACCATATATAAGTCACAAATCAGAAATGTGATGGTATACTCCCCACTTGACTGGATGAATACATCTTCAACAATATGCAAGAAGCTTGATGCCATCCAGGACAAAGCAGCCTGCTTGATTGGCACCACATCCACTCCCGCCACCACTGATGCTTAGCAGCAGTGTGTATTATCTACAAGATGCATTTCTACCAAGATCCTTAGACAGCATTTTCCAAAGCCACGACCACTTCTATTTCAGAGGACAGGCGCAGCAGATACATGGGAATGTTACCATCTGCAAGTTTCCCTTCAAGGTTCTCACCATCCTGATTTGGAAACCTATCATCATTCCTTCACTGTTGCTTGACAAAATCCTGGAATTCCTTCCCTAAGGGCATTGATGTTCAATCTACAACACATGGACTGCAATGGTTCAAGTAGGCAGTTTGCCGCCACACCTCCAGGGCAGCTAAGGACAGGCAACGAATGCTGGCCAGCCAGTGTTACCCATATCCATGAGTGAATAAAAAATACAAAAAAAAAGTAGAAATATATTAGAAGCAGTTCAGAAAAGGTTTATTTGACTGATACATGGAATGTGGGGCTTTTCTTCATGAAGGAAGGTTGGACAGGCTGGGCCTCCATTGAACTTTAGAATGAGAAGTGATCTTATTGAAACATAGTAGATTTTGGTGGAGCATGCATTTATCAGAAGTAGGCCTCTAAGCTCCTTGTGCCTACTCTTCCATTCAATGAGATCACAGCTGATCTAATTATACTGCGGTGATCCTCTGATAAACTTACCCCTCCTTGCTTATCAAGAGTCTATCTACCTCTACTGTAACAATCTCCAAAAACACTGCTTCCACTGCCTTTTGAGAAAGGAAGTGCCAAAGACTCATAACTCTGTGAGAAAACCCCTTACTTTGAAAATAAGCTTTAGTTCTATATTCTCCCATAAGAGGCAACATCTTTTTCACAGTCACACTGTCCAGATCCTTTGGGATCTTGTATTTCAATCAAGTTGCCTCTTACTCTTCTAAACTTCAGTAAATACAAACGTAGCCTGTATGATACTTTCCTCAGGACAAGATTCTCTGAACTTTGTGTTTTTACAACCTTCCTTTAAGTAAGGAGACCAAGATTTGTGTGCAGTGCCCCAGCTGTGATCTTACCAATGCTCTGTCTAACTCTAAGCATAACCTCCATATTTTTCTATTCGGTTTCCCTTGCAATAAACAACATCATTCTACTAACTTTCCTCATTACAAGCTGTACTAACCTTTAGTGATTCGTGTACAGAGGCAGCCAAATTCCTGAGATTTGATAGGGTGGATTCCGAAAGAACGTTTTCTCATGTGGGAGCGGCTAAGAGCAGGGGCACAGTTTAAAAACAAGGGGTCTCCCTTTTAAGATGGAGATAGGAAGAAATGTTTTCCCTGAAGATTCTGAATCTTTGAAATTCTCTTCCTCAGAAATTGTTAGAGGTAAGGTCTTTGAATACGTTTAAGTCAGAGGTTGTCCAACTCAAGTGTTAGTCAAGAATCTAAAGTTATTGAGAGTATATAGGAATGTGGAGCTGTGACCACAATTGGATCAGCCACGAAATTATCGACTGGCAGAACAGACTTGTGGGGCCAAATGGCCAATTCTTGTTCCTAATGTGTATGTTGAGAAACAATACATGATCAGATAATACATGTTCTGAGGAAGGGTCACCAGACCCGAAATGTTAACTCTGTTTTTTTCCTTCACAGATGCTGCCAGACCTGCTGAGCTTTTCCAGCAACTTTGTTTTTGTTCCTACTACAAATATTGGTTGAGCTTTTTATAGTCAATTAGGGCTACCTTAACTTGAGGAGATGAGGCATAACTAGAATTTCTCAGAGAATTCAGACACTGGGAAGGGAAAGTGACTTAGTTCCAATAGGAGACAAAAGATCACAAGCACAGAAGAAATTTGCACCTATTTGCCATTTATCACAAGTTCAAAGGCCTTTGCAGCCAAGACGTTTTCCTGAGGCTAGGTGAGTAGAAACTTTGACTATTAACAAGGATTTTGTAAGGTTGATCTGTAACTCTACTCCACTTGCTCCATTTTCTTATCTAATTGAGTGATAGAACTAGGTGAATAGACAACTGCCATACGCCTGTTTTCCACGTTCCTGTAAAATGCATTGGTTATGTTAGTCCAATTATGCCACATCCAGTTATGAATGGTGCTGGTCACTTAAACAAAAAACTAATAAGAGAAGGAACCTCCTTGAACCTGCCCCTCAATGATGGCATGGTTCAGCATGTGAATTCAAATGCTGAGGCTGAAGTGTTTGGAACCATCTTCGATCAGATCCAGCACCAATTTCTTTTCTTGGTTCTCTCCAATGGAACCATTACACTTCCTTCAAATCTGCTATTGACTTCCATTCTTGCCAAAAAAAAACCTAGCCCTTGACCCCACCATACATGTTAACCACCACTATCTCCAAGAAAGACTTTAGAAGAGGAAAGGGATGAAGATGGTGTTGCCCATCTTTCATTTACATCCACACCTGAATCTGTACAAGCAGGTTTCCATCCCTGTCGTAGTATCAAAACAGTGGCCCTTGTCAAAGTCACAAGTGACCTACAAGGAGACTGGTGAAATTATCACTCCTTGACCTTCTCGATATTTCTGCCGTCAATCCTGCTCCCATTGCTCTGCAGTCATCCAGTTGAGTGGAACTGCTCTTACCTTCCATTCTCGACTTGTAGTCAGAGAAACTGGTGCAGGGAATGATGGGCTGAATGGCCTCTTGGCACCATAACAATTCTGTGATTCTGAAAATTACTTGACTTCTGTTCCTGCAGATACATCAGTACCTCTGGTGACCTTGAAAGATCAATCCTTGGTCCCCACCTATTTTTCCTCTATATGCTGCCCTTCACTACATCATCTAAATGTTACAACACGAAGACAGACAGCCTTTCTACCTCTGTATTTGCAACATAGTAAAATTTAAACCTTCAAAGAATAGTTATTCCAATGGTTTGAAATAAGACTTTTGAATAACCAATCCTTGACTTTGCAGATAATTAATTTGAGACACCAGTTTTGTATTTTAAACAAAAGATTTAATAAATGAAATACACAATAACGTTAGCAGAGGAAAATTAAACAAGTCATTTTATGTCCATCTTCTAAACCCAAAACATTTGTTTTCAGCACCCAGTCATACAAAAGACAGACAAACAAGCACAATTAAAGAATATGTAAAAGAAAATAACAAAACTGGCCAGATTACTTAAATGGTTTTCACGATGCATTGTTTCACAGGTGTAAATGTGGACTCCTTGGTTTTTTTTCTTAAGACGTCAATCAGGGTCACCTTTTTAGTTCACTTGAGACCCGGTAGTAATGCTTATAACTCAGCTTTCTACTCTCTGGGTTTCTGAAAACTAATGATGGGAATTAGGCAGGGAGTTTTCAAAGTCTTCATGTTGTGCTATCAGCTGCGAAACCTTTCTCCAAAAATATAGAAGTTAAACACTTCAAATCTAGTCCCACCCTGATAGACTGATCGTCTTTTGCTGAGGCCTCATTTGCCATTAAACATTTGCCTGA